ACAACCAAGTTACTACATGTTTTTTCTTTTTTTTACAAATTTTGAATTTTTTTGGTGTGCATTAACAAAAATTACAGGAACATTTGATAAATGACGCTAACCAATTATGTCGATGATTGATCGGTTGTAATGGACCAATCATCAATTATTAGATTTTAACCAATTCCCAACACTAAAGTGCACACATTAATATAAAGGCAATGTGTACAATTATTTATTGTGGAGTTGACACTTACCGCCATGTACGGGGGTGGAGGCTGTTGCATTGTCTCTGGAAGTAAACAGGCAGGTAAAAGGTGCTTCCACTTTGTCGCCAGAGGACAACAATTTTGATTTTACTAAAATATTCCATTTGTTTTATAATCAAGTTAATATTCTGAGTTCTCTGATTCAAATACTCACACCCAGTAATGGTGTCCAATGAAAGTTGAAGGTATCGAATCAAGTATATCTAATTTTCAATACTGACTGACTGACTGAGTTTGCTGTTACGCCGCTTTTAGCAATATTCCAGCAATATCACGGCGGGGGACACCAGAAATGGGCTTCCCACATTGTGCCCATGTGGGGATTCGAACCCGGGTCTTCGGCGTGACGAGCCAACGCTTTAACCATTAGGCTCCCACCGCCCCATTTCAATACTGACATTTGGCTTTTACTACTGTCTTGTCAACAGAAGTAATGCAAGTCAAGAACCTGGTTATTATGTTGATTACTTCCTTGGACATTTCATTCACAGACACGCTGAGCATAAAGAATTCTTCAACGTAATTTCTACTTTCAAATTGAAGAAGAACTTGGAAATTTATCTCAACTGAATGAAAGTTATGTATGTTATTCTCCACTTCACAGTTTAGCAACATTGTATTGGATATAGAACTAAAGTATTTGGCAATAAAAATGATAAAAATATACTTGCGTTTTTCGTTGTTTATATCACAATATAAGAAAATGAATCCGACAGTACCGGTCCCTTCAGAGCGTTTGAATATACTATTCCGAGGTCAGAACATAAGTACATTTATCGGGATACGGTCGCCAAAACAAGCCTCTTAAACGATGTCCCTATTCAAGGTAACGGCGAGAACAACAATTGGACTTAGGCAATCCCTAATGCCCTTATATATCCACGCCGTATACCTTAAAACGGTTATGTAATTATTTATTACACCGTAAATATTATTTGGGTTCTTAGCGTGACTTGCGGTTTTCGTCAAATGTCAAATTACTGTTAATACATGATCGTTAGAGTTTAATTGTGAGGCTCTAAAACTTGGATAAAAGGTATGTAATTAAGTATTACACCGTAAATATTATTTGGCTTCTGTTAATACATGCTTGTTAGAGTTTAATTGTGAGGGTCTAAAACTGGGATAACGGGTTTTCATTGTTACCTTGGGCCTTACGATCATTTCATCTTCTCCATACAGTGTATATAACCTGTTTCATTTTGTAATGAACGACCATTAATGAATCACAAGTGGATTACGTGAACGTATTGTACTCGTCTTGTGTTTGTCATTGCTCGGATCATGACGATTGTGAAACGTGGTATGTCTCAATGGCTCATTCTGATTAGGTATTGATCTAATTTAACACTTTTTTGTAGTTTTGAGCATAACAATGTCTGATTGCTCACAATCTGGATTGCCATTTGCTTATGGTATTATGGCTCGTGTTTCCACAGTGTTTGGCAAATTCGAGAAGAACTGGGTCGAATTATTCACCTACAACCCATTATTGAACAGCAGTTATCAGTGACCGGTTTGAGTGAGTAAGTGAGTTTAGTTTTACTCCGCACGCAGCAATATTCCAGCTATATGGCGGCCGTCTGTAAATAAATCGACTCTGGACCAGACAATCCAGTGATCAGCATCACGATCATCGATCTACGCAATTGGGAAACGATGACATATGTCAACGAGTCTGACCACCCGATCCCGTTAGTCGCCTCTTACGAAAAACATGGGTTGCTGGTGACCAATTCTAACCCGGATCTTCACGGGTATCACCGGTTTGATTTATTAGGGGTAGTCTGGTGGTAAGAGTCACGTCACAGTCCGGGGTTCGATTGCCTTCATGGATACGACCTGCGAAGTTCATTCCTTGTGTGCACGCCTTGGTGTTTCTGGAATGTTGGCAAACGCGGCGTAAAACCATACTCATTCACTTGAAGTATTGTAGGACAATTGAAATATACAACCGTCGTACCCTCACTGCCTAGTAATGGTACTCTTGTATGATTCCCGGGGCGGTGGGGTAGCCTAGTGGTTAAAGCGTTCGCTCGTCACGCCGAAGGCCTGGGTTCGAATCCCCACATGGGTACAATGTGTGAAGCCCATTTCTGGTGTCCCTCGCCGTGATATTGCTGGAATATTGCTAAAAGCGGCGTAAAACCATACTCAGTCAGTCAGTTGTATGATTCCCGGTATACGTTTTGGCTACAGGAAAATATAGAAACGATGCTCTGTGCTGCATAATATAAAATTGTCTCACAAAGATAGAAAAGTACCGTGAAAGTGCGACGATTGTGTCATTTATGACAACGTTGCCATGACGACACCCAACTCCTCTCACACCCACCCAACCCAACCCAACCTACGTTCCAGGTACGGGTGCCCTTATCCTGGGAAGACAATAGTAGTTAATTATATACACCCGAATACGCACCCATATTTTCGAGGCTATGGTTAAACCGATCATGCTAAGTATTCCTACGGGTAGATGTACTGTGTCGCCATGGGCTTAACGGACTGGTGTAAATATCGCCGCACTCAGCAATGTTACAGCGTATGGCGGCGGTCTGTAAATAAGCAGTTCTTGTTCTACGTCAATATAGGGGATTGCCCGATAAGGATATGATCATTATGGATCACGCAACAAAGCAAAACACTGAGATTTTATCCAAGGAACAATCACACAAAAAAGCAAACAGACGTATCCGTCAAAACCTGACATAAAAACATCTTACACGTAATTCTACTTTTCAAATTGAAGAAGTCATTGGAAATGTACCTCATTTGAACTGAACTTCTGTGTATAATTCTCCACTTTGCAATTGACGGATTTCTGTCAATACCAGGTTAGATATCATTACAATGGTAAATTATATTTCTTTCAGATATTTTACCGTCAACAAAGGAGTATAACGATGGCAAATTATATCTATTTCACATATTTTACCGTCAACAACGGATAATAACCAGCCTCGATTATCTGTCAAAACAGATTGTAATGGGCATTACAGTCAAAATATACTGACGTTCAAAAGAAAGTACCTGATTTTTTGGCGAAATATTTTCTTGGAAACAGCATTAATATTTAAAAACTGTTTTGATTCTGCCTTGTCACAAACATTGTGCAAGTGTTTCCAAAATACCACAGATATTGTACCCAATTACAACATTGCTAGCAAAATATTAATGGTTCTATTGGGAATAGTCACCAAACACCAGGTGTGTACTTTCTTATGTACGTCAGTATAGTAGTAAAGGTGAAAAGGAGTGATGACACCAGGTATTCAACCTAGTGGTGGTCCGATTAATTGAAATAATCGAAGATTGGTCGCAGTGACTAAACGACCAAGCAATCGAACATGTTTTCTCGTAATCGAACACGACCAATCTTGGAACACTTGTTTGCATGAACAATATTTTTCACAAGGCTGGTTTTGTCTGTGTCATTAAATTTACATTTCATAAGCACTACAAGCTCGTTCACAGTCATGCTTGAATTTATCTTAATGAATCCAGGAAATATGTGTTCCTAACATACTAATCATCATTTAAATATGCAAAATTTGCAAATGGACTTTATGCAATTTGCAAAAAAACACAACCAAGTTACTACATGTTTTTTCTCTCTTTCTTTCTTTCTTTAAAATTTGAATTTTAAAAAACAAATTTTGTGCATTAACAAAAATAACAGAAACATTTGATGAATGACGCTAACCAATTTTGTCGATGATTGATCGGTTGTAATGGACCAATCATCAATTATTAGATTTTAACCAATTCCCAACACTAATTCAACCTTATCCATATTTCCGAAGGGGTTTCCCCCAACTCCCACATCCAGATTCCACAATGGAATGACTTGACTGTCATATGATTTGGAATCGTGACAATAGGACGATGAAGACTACGGTAGAATTCATTTTTTAAATCATTGAGTTAAATGTAACTGGCTACGATTTCATGGCATGAGACTGATTTTGTTATTGTTTGTTAAGACCCGTGAAGGTCCGGCTTAGAATTGATCTTCAGTAACCCATGCTTGTCGTAAGAGGCGACTAACGGGATCAGGTGGTCAGGCTCACTGACTTGGTTGACACATGTCATCGGTCCCCAATTGCGCTGATCGATGCTCATGCTGTTGATCACTGTCTTGTCTGGTTCAGACTCGATTATTTACATACCGCCGCTATATAGCTGGAATATTGCTGAGTGCGGCGTAAAACTAAACTCACTAACTCAATACTATGCAACTACATATGTGTCTGTGAGTGTGAGTGGTTAATGCGTTGGCTCGTCACGCCGAAGACCCGGGTTCGAATCCCCACATGGGTACAATGTGTGAAGCCCATTTCTGGTGTCCCCCGCCGTGATATTGCTGGAATACTGCGAAAAGCGGCGTAAAACCAGACTCAGTCAGTCTGTCAGTCAGTCTAGTGGTTAAGGCGTTCCCTCGTTATGTCGAAGACCCGGACTCGATTCTCCACATGAATACAATGTGTGAAGCCCAATTCTGGTGTTCCCCGCCCTGATATTGCTGTAATATTGCTAAAGGTGGTGTAAAGCCCAACTCACCAATTCATTCACATATGTCATCAAAACAGCTTAAAAGACTCGGATAATGACACTAGTATGAAAGATATGGCAGAGAACATATCTGTGAATTCATTAAACCATATGATTGTGTGTATTGACCAAACAATACATGCATGTGGACCAGACTATGTTTGTAGATGGATCATACTATAGTCGCGTATAGATAAAACAACTAGTGTTGGGAATTGGTTAAAATCTCATTATTGATGATTGGTTCATTACAACCGATCAATCATCGAAAATAATTGGTTATCGTCATTTATGAAATGTTCCTGATTATTTTTGTTAATGCTCAAATAAGGAAAAAAACATGTAGTTCTTTAGGGTTTTTTGGTGCAAAATTTCATATATTTAAAGGATGACAAGTATGTAAGGAACATAAATTTCTTAGAGTCTTTAAGATATATTCAATCATGACTTGGAACGAGCTTGTAGTGCTTGTGGAATGTAACAGACAAAACCAACCTTGTGAAATATATTGTTTATGAAAACAAGTGTTCCAGAATTGTTTGTGTTCGATTATGAGAAAACATGATCGAATGCTTGGTCGTATAATCACTGCGACCAATCTTCGCTTATTTCAATTAATCGGACCACCACTAAAAAATTTTACCGTGAATGAATCAAACTACAGACGTGTATGATCACTCTGTATTAGTATAAATCCGTGAAAGTCCGGGTTAGAATATTGATCTTCAGTAACCCATGCTTGTCGTAAGAGGCGACTAACGGGATCGGGTGGTCAGGCTCGCTGACTTGGTTGACACAATCATGTCATCGGTTCCCCAATTGCGCAGATCGATGCTCATGATGTTGACCACTGGATTGTCTGGTCCAGACTCGACTATTTACAGACCGCCGTCATATAGCCGGAATATTGCTGAGTGTGGCGTAAAACTTAACTTATTCACTCACTGTTAGTATAGGGATCAAACTATATATGTGTATGGATCAAACTATTCTGTTTTTGAATCTGTCCTTTTCTGCACGGATTCCCGAGTCATCTTTGCTCCTGTGTTCGATGCTAGTTATGAGCATGACCATTCTGTCTGTGTTTGAATGTACCAATATGGACCGCATGTGTCCTTGTTTCTAACCATACTAGGCAAATTTGAGTCTCACACCAGCGGCCTGTTAATAATCATGACTGGACCAGACGACTACTCGATTGGGGTATCCTCCCAAAACGTCCACATCCCAAAACTTCCACAGCTTGTAACAACAACATTTCTGGTTGACTGCACACACTTTAGCATACTGACTACCCCAGTCTGTAATGGTTTAATCCAATAATCAGTGATGAAAAAAACAATCACTTAGATATATATTATATATTTCGTTAAGGCAGGGTTATTAACAAAAATACATATCTTTTCTAGTTACATATAACAGTCTATGTAGAACATTTATATAGAACTTGCGTCCTATAGTGTCCAAAATTTCACATTTGACAGTCATAACCCGGTCACTCTGTACTGCCTTCTGAAGAGTATGGTGTAGATCAACACGGCTGTGATAGGGCCGTTACGGTGATGACATTATATACCGACACAGTGTCACTGCCGTAACACGCAATCTTTTACCTATTACATATTCTTTAAACATTCTGAAATATTTGACTGACAAATTTCATTAAATCATATTTTAAAGTAAACATATAAAACTGGCTACTATTAAAATTTCAGATATATTAACTAACTGCTTTCTTCTCTACTAAAATCTCTACTCTCCTAAGTCAGGTGAAGTAGCATTATCTGTTGTTTCAGTTCAGTGCACTTCCCGGGCTATCCTATTACCTAAAGAGGGGTGATGAGCAGTTGTTGTTTTAACAATGTGTGGTTGTATTGGGATGTGGAAGTTTTGGGATGTGGAAGTTTTGGCATATAACCCTCGATTGGTATTTGTGGAAAACGATCCGTGCCAGGTCCTCTAGCTACAAATCCACACAATCAGCCGTCACAGAACCTGACCACCCGTCTCATTAACTCGCCCAAGCATATGCAGATGAAGCGCAAGGATGGTTTTTGTGAATTTGCTGTGTATCAGGTGATGGGCAACAATTCTTCCCACGATGACTTTGATGGCTATCATGTTTGAATGACTTTATGATGAAATTAAACGAATTCTTATGATGTAGTCGGACTAAGGGACTCTTTCAGCATAGACTTAAGACACGATTCATCTGTATTGAACATGTGTTGTGTCTCTAATTTATATCCAAGCCTGTGTCTGTCTCCCAGTCAAGATTACAACAAATCAAAGAATGTAATGACCAAGGACCAAGCATAACATGGTGTCAGAACAAGCGAAGCCACACGCATTCGTTAGGACTGGACGACAACCCACTTTCAGGGCAATATAAAGTGCACTGCCCGCGCCGGGTGAATGGACTTTCACGTGGTGTGTGTGTGTGAAAAATGACAGAAAGCGATAACGGACATTCTCAAGCTTTCACGACGCTTCCTACGTGTTTGATGATCGAAAAGTGATCATTGGCATTACAAGTGACATTAACTCAGCCGATTCCTCATCTTGAGGGCGAGAATCGTGAAATTCAACTTTCTCTCTCTGGCGACATCGGATGTATGGTGAACTATACGGGACATAATTTGTAAATCATGGCAGAACTCACAGGTATTCCAATTTCGAGTTTAGACTTAAAATCCAGTAATTTACCAGAAGCATTTCGTAAATTTAAACAAACATGTCAATTTATTTTTGATGGACCATTGGCTGACAAAACAGAAGTTCAATATCTCATGCTATGGATTGGTGAAGAAGGTATGGATATTCTAGAAGGATGGAATCTTTAGGAGGAAGATAAAGGGAAGTTAGATGTGCATTGGACTAAATTCGAAAGATATGTGAAACCCAAATCAAACTTCAGAGTAGCTAGATTTCAGCTCAGAGCTCTCAAACAAGAATTTTCAGAGACAGTGGATGCATTTATCACCAGGGCGAAAATTCATTGCAGCCGAATGTGAGTACACAGACACAAACGATCAGTTGCTTGACAGTCTCATTGCAGGAGTGAATAATGAAAGCATTCAGCGAAAACTAATTGCCAAAGACAACACTCTTACCTTAGTTCAAGCCATGACAATTGTACGAACGTACGAAGCAACAATGACTCAAATGAACAACATTCAAGACACCAAAACTGTTCACACAGCGACAAAGAACAGTGAACAAAAGGACAATAGACAGTTCTTCACACGTTACAAGAAAGCTCCTTTCAAAACGGGACAATGTTGGAATTGTGGACTAGATCAAGGACGTGATGCTAAATGTCCAGCAGAAGGCTCGACATGTTCTTTCTGTAAAAAACAGGATCACTGGGCCATTATGTGCATTTCCAAGCAAAAGTTTAACACAGACAGTAACGAACGAGGACGAAAGACAACAAACACAAGATCTCAGTCAAGAGGACGATCACATTTACGCAGAAGACAAGTTCAAGCCAGACACAATAAGAAGGTGCATGAGCTGACAAACAATGACAATGGAGACACAAATGTGAATGACATGACAGACGATTTCAAGGATTTTGTGTTGGACACTATAGACATTGAACATGAGAAATGTGATACAGATGAACAATTTTGTGACAGTATAATCATTGAATCAATCTACAATGATGGTCCAAGGAATCAAGCTTTTGCGAACGTTATCATTACATTCAATGACATCAGTCATACAGTCCGGTGTAAAATTGACACTGGTGCTCATTCAAATGAAATCCTCTCAGAGTCTACAAGGAATTTGTACCACAGCAACACTCTGAATGTGACTATGAGAAGCATCTCAAACCGACAAACATAAAGCTGAAAGCTTACGGAGGTTATCCTATCAAACAGTTGGGAACATGTGAATTGAACTGTAGCCATAGGGATAAGTCATCAAAGTGTGAATTCCATGTGACAGAAGCCAACGGAAATACAATGCTTGGACTACGTACATGCATTGACCTTGGGATTGTGAAACTGAACTGTGAATATTCTCATTGCAACACATGTCATAAAACTAGTGACATTTCAGACCTTCACAGGGACACAAGGTGCGATCAAAAGTGCTCATCATTTGGTAGCAAGAAAGGAGATCCAAAACAGGATATGTTAGATCAATTTGCAAAATGTTTTCAAGGAGTAGGGTTATTTCCAGGTGACTACCACACAGAGTTGCGAGCTGATGCAGAACCAGTTATTCATCCTCCACGACGCATCCTAGAATCACTCAAAATTCCTTTGAAGAAAGAACTGGAACGAATGACAGATCTTGATGTCATTGAGAAAGTAGACTGTCCTACCGACTGGGTTAACAGTCTAGTTTATGTCACAAAACCTAATGGAGATCTCAGAATTTGTCTAGATCCACACGATCTAAACAAGTTGATCAAGAGAGAACATCATTACACAAGGACTGATGTTTTACCCTCTCTATCCAAAGCAAAAGTATTCAGTTAGCTTGACGCGCGTTCTGGATATTGGAATGTCAAACTGGACACTGAATCAAAACATTTGACGACGTTCAATACACCATACGGTCGTTATTGTTTCAAGCGGCTACCCTTTGGTCTGGTCTCAGCACAGGATGTCTTCCAGAAGAAGATTGATCAGACATGAAGGTCTACCCGGTGTGATTGGGATCACTGATGACATTATTGTGCATGGTGAAAATGATGCAGACCATGATGCAAACTTAACTGCTATGCTCAGACGGACAGAGCAAGTTGGTCTGAGACTGAACCCCGACGAATGTGATGTGAAACAGGACAGTGTGAAATTTTTCGGCAACGTTAATCAGCAAGGATGGTCTGAAGCCAGATCCGGACAAAATTTCATCAATTGTGAACATGGAAGCCCCAAAGTCGGTCAGTGAAGTGCAGTCATTCCTAGGTACAGCGAACTACCTAAGCCGTTTCACACCCAACCTTGCAACCACCACAGCACCGTTGCGTGACCTCACAAAACAGGACATAGAGTTAACTTGGGGTCCAGAACACCAAAAAGCATTCCAAAACTTGAAAGATATTCTTCTTTCAACTGATGTATTGACTTACTTCGATGTTCCAAAATGGACGACCAGTAGCATATGCTAGCAAAAGTCTGTCTGAAACAGAAAGCAACTATTGCAACATTGAGAGGGAAATGCTTGCAATTGTGTTTGGTCTAGAACGCTTTCACCCATATGTTTATGGCAGACATGTGGTCATT